AATGAGAGACAGAGAGCATGAGAGGGAGGAGGGTCAGAGGGAGAAGCAGACTCCCCGCTGAGCAGGGAGCCCGATGCGGGACTTGATCCCGGGACTCCAGGATCATGACCTGAGCCGAAGGCAGTCGCTTAACCAACTGAGCCACCCAGGCGCCCCGATATAAAGATCAATCTTAATGACAGTTTGCATGATGTTCACACTTGAAGCAAATTTTCATTTACGTGCAGAGCAAATTGATGGCAAAAAATTGAATAGAAACTGTTCTGAGAAATACAGTGATAAAGAGAGATTGTCAATATCATTGCCACAGTAACTTCTAAATTCTAGGCCAAGCTTTCTGTTATTTGACGAGATGTTTTCCTACAGTATGCCATATATTTTTATTAAGTAATTAATATTTTATGGTATTTAAATATATGTTGCTTTCTCAAAATGTCTGTGGAATAATTTCTCAGGCATGCAACTAAGACTGTGTTAGGGGCACCTGGGTGGCTCAGTTGGTTACGCAGCCGACTCTTGATTTCTGCTTCACATAATGATCTCAGGGTCCTGGGATCAAGCCCTGGCGTCCAGCTCCCTGCTCAGCAGGGAGTCTGCTTTAGGATTCTCTCTCTCTCTCTCTCTCTCTGCCCCTCCCCCTGCTCTCTCTCTCTCTAAAATAAATAAATCTTAAAAAAAAAAGATTGTGTTAAGAAAGTTGAACTTTTTAGTGCAAGCATACAAATCTCTTTACACATTTTCTTTTCACCCTTACCGAGTCTCCTAGAACACTCATTCTGTGAAAGATCATATTTTAAAAGAACAGTGATTATTCTTACTGGTCAGTTTCACATTATAATTATGGCAATGCCAAATAGCCACCTACAGTGATTAATGATCTCTCTCTAGTGTATGGAATTTAACATTTTAGAATTTTAGCTTAGCTCTCACATACCTGTTTAGCCATCAAAGTAATATAATATTGTTCAGCCAGTTCAAACAAATAAATTACAAAACATAGCAAAATCTAGGCCCAAGATTAGAGAATAAGTAGAATTTTAAGACCTATGAAACAACATGGGGATTTTCTGTCTAAAATGCTTTTTTTTTTTTTTTTAAGATTAAGGTTGTTTGTGTCTGGAGGTCTTCCATGACATGTCCAAGGTTACCCAGCTCATTAGTAGCAGAGCTGGGGATTAAAACTTTTCTGCCAATTCATTGTTTGTGTTCCTTATTTCTGGGTCATTAACAGCTGGTCTTGTAAATTTGCGTGCAACTGTGTTATTTGACGACTGCATTTAACTAGATACACAGGAAGAACAAAATACCTTTTGTGAGGGTTTCTTACAATGGACAATGGGCTATGGGCTTTGGCATCTTTCTGGAAAATATAATAAAAATCCAAGGAAACATCCAGACTGTAAAATATGAAATTAAGGGCAGAAAGGAAATTTAATAGACTGTTAGAATAGCTCACATTGACAGGTGTCTGTTATGTGTCAGATAATCTCATTTCCCTTGTCACGGCCTCCAGACTTGGAATGTAAGGGACTTCTCTGCTTTAAGGGAGTTCTTTACTGCATTTGTATTCCTTTCCTGGTCTGATTTTATTGCAAGAAAAGTAGAGGGAAATAATTAGATGATACCACAGTTGATTTTCCTGAACAATTTTCTGACACAGGCATTTTTTTTCAATTGTTTCTTTTTAATAAAAAAAGAACACTGAAAGTGAACAAGTTAGACAAAATAATTTTTTGGGAAATGATAATATGTCATCTGTGTAAGATGTGGAATTAAATGGAGTCGAATGGAGTTTTAGTTACTGATATTTTAGTTGGCTAATCCATGGTTAGGAGGCTTTTTATAATGTATATTTAAGGGAAATATTCTGGCAAATAGCAGTTTGCTCCCTTTGTATCAACTTCCATGAGTTAGTATTCATTTTCATTGAGAAGACAAGCTATAGATCAGGCACACATTTAAGAAAACATGTACTTTGGTAACCCTATACTCACCGAGTCTAATTTCTTATGAATATTATATTTTGGGTTAAACGACTGATTTTTTAGATAAAAATTAAAATGAGAAAAAGGTAAAAGTAAAATTTAATATATTGTTTTCTCTGGTCTCTGTTGAGTCTTTGTACTTCGATTATCATTGAAAATTTCATGTCATTAGTATTAATCACTCAGTTGTATTTGTAGTAAACCATGCACACACACAAAACCCATTTCAGATGGGTAGCTTGGATTTATGTTTGCAAAGTACCAGGTTGCTTAGGAAAAATTACTATATGAAAGTTTTCTATAATGTACTGTTATTACCAGAGTGCATGGAATTAAATGCTAAACAATTCAAAACATTCAACGTTTTCCATATTTCTTTTTTCAGTATGAACTGAAGGTAATTGTGAGTCATAATTAATAAAATTCTATGGAACATTATCGTATGAGAGTAGATGACCGTTAATTTTATTGTAAACAAATCTCAAACAGGGAGGGATAGTGAAGCTATAAATAAATTGACCTCACGATCAGAAATTGATTATTCTTATATTGTTTCCAGATTAATTTTCAGTTTTTGCCATTTCACATGTTATCTAGGATATCTACAATATCTTGGAATATGTATTTTTATTATGCAATTTCCTTTTATATCATTTATGTGTGCTGCCTCTGGAATAGTCTCTCAAACATATAGTTAATATTGTTCTAAGATGGTGGGACAGTTCAAACTAGTAGAGTCCCAGCTTGGAAGCTAAGTTTGTTTCCTTTTGCTTTCCTAGTAGTTAGATGCATGCCTGTCACAAGGTCATTCTGGCAGAAGATTCTCCATTGTATGGCTTAGCCCTAAATTTGCCAATGCTCATTTTCATTGATCCTCTCAAGTCTTGGTCCTACTCCAGATTTCTTGAGTCAGACCTGCATTTTCACAATATCTTTAGGTGATTTGTATGTCACGAATGTTTGGGAAGCCCTGCTCTCAACAGATGGTCCCTCTCCATTTAGATGGATCTCTTATGTACCTGGTAAGTGCCAGGCAAAGGGTTAGGTTCCTGATATGTGTTACCTCATTTAGTCCTTGCCACATCTTTACTATCATTCTACTTCTAAAGATGTAAGCATTTTTTTAAAAAGACTTTATTATGAAAAATATAAAATACACTTCTAGAAATAAAACTGCAATATATCCCCCCTGTATCCTTCTCCCAGCTTCAACAGTGCATGGCCAAAATTATTTCATCATTATAATGAAGCAACTCTCAATCATCACATAATTTTATCCACAGATAATTTAGTAAGCATCTCTACAACAAAAAGACTTCGGTTTTTTTTTTTTTTAAAGATTTTATTTATTTATTTGACAGAGAGAGACACAGCGAGAGAGGGAACACAAGCAGGGGGAGTGGGAGAGGGAGAAGCAGGCTCCCCGCAGAGCAGGGAGCCCGATGCGGGACTCGATCCCAGGACCCTGGGATCATGACCTGAGCTGAAGGCAGTCACTTAACCAACTGAGCCACCCAGGCGCCCAAGACCGGTTTTTTAACATAATCATGATACTGTTATTACTAAAAATATTGTAAAATTTTTTCGTAGCATCAAACAACCAGGCATTGTTTGTATTTCCCTGATTGTCTCATGACTGTCTGTACGTTTTTTCTGTCATTTCCTTTTAAGTGTCTTTGTTTGAATTGTAGAGGAGGAAAAATAGTTTTTCCTCTACCCTTCTGAATTACTGGCTGAGACTCCTGTAATAAAAGACAGATTAACATGAAAAAAACACATTTATTAACATGTATACTTCCTATATACATGAGAGGTACCCAAGGAAAAATGAGTAACTCCTCAAAGTGACTTAGAATTTAGGCTTAAATGCCATCTTAATAGGGAAAAGGGAGAAAGGGACGTTGGTCACTTAGAGGAGAGTAAATGATTTTTTAGGAAAGATGAATGGACTCAGAAGAATAGATGGGAGACATGATACTTTGTGACACAGTTTGTCAGTGTACAGTGTCAACTTCTAGTCTCTTTTGATGAGTCAGTCCTTGGTTGATGAAATCCTCAGGGAGGGAATTTATGATACATGAGTTTCTTTTGGGGGGGTCTGTTTTTAGGCAGATAAGGCAAGTTCAAAGAAAGCCTCTCCTTGCATTTGCTGTCTTTCAAGTGCCTACAAGTCAAAATTATCAGTATACCAAAGCAACATATTCTGGGGTGACATTTTCTGCTTCCCTTCAGAATCAAGATCTAAATATTCATCCATTGGGATCTTATGTCTTTTGAGACTCCCTCTCTCCCCTTCCTTTTCATTTAATCTCTAGATTTCTAAAATGAACTTATTTTTTTGATCATCCTGTTTTACAGAGGCCAAAACTGAAAGTCAGAGATTGACTAAACTTGCCTGAGGCTTAGTAGCTAGTAAATGGCAGTACCAGAATTGAAACCAAGCCTTTCAACCTCTGTTAATCTTTCCCCATATCATGTTGCTGCCCTTGCGTTGACCCTACTTTAATTTTCACTCTCTTTGTTTAGTCTTTTGTATTTCTTGCCTAATTACTTATTCTAAAAGATCTGCAGTCCGTCATATGCTCATTTTGAAAATCTGCATTTTAAAATATAGACATCTGGGGACTCAGTCGTCATGTAAAAGTGATGTCACTCCTCTCCAACAATACATTACAGAATGAAGGAAAAAATATTTCTTTCTTTCTTGATTGTTTATGTGATTTAAGTTAGCAGTCTACCAAGGATATTTACAGCTACAAAGATCAGCTGCCCTCAGGGCCATCCTGGGGCCTTCTTAATCCACCACCTTGCTCTGGTTGCATACAAAGTTTCCCCCACACTGGGGGAGGGCTAGATTTCAGCCTTACCTTTCACTCCTCACTTAAGGCTTACAGTTGCTTAGCAATGCACACTGCATGGATGTTGTTATAGTGTACAGATTTTTTCTTATAGCAGAAAGATCCTAATTTTTCCTGAGCTTTTGGAATTTAATATTATTGTGTGGTTGTGTTTTAGATTGGAGAATTAATTTACGTTGTGGAAGGAAAAGGTATGATCCCCTTGCCTTCCTCCTTTCTCCCAAAGGATTCTTCAGCTCCACTTGACTACAGCACTTCGCCAGAGGAAGGTAGAGTATGTTTTGTTTCATTTAAAATGTTGAAGGATGGGGTTGTTCTTCATAGAGCCATCCAAGCATACTCCTGGCAAGTTTTTCCAATAAAAACTTGGAAGGCTTTTGGAAGGCTCCCTTTTAACTTTATTATGTCAGCATCCATGGAATACAGCCCCAGTTTAACAAGAAAATGTCAATGGTGATTTTTTTTTTTAAATCCTTATTTTTCATTCTTCAGATGAATATTGAAATTTGGCATGTAAAATATTTACTCAGCAAATTTTCAGTTGCCCAAATAATTTGGAAATGGTTCTACTCTCAAATTCTATATATTGTAATATATTAACTGAACTTGTACCCTGAACTTGTACCCTCATTCTGAAGTGTAAGGTTGTTAGTGAAAGAAAATGACAGCTCTTACCAGCACCTGACACATGTCTTTACATTTATTTTTACCTCCCTTACCTTCTAATCGCTGATAGCACAATGGTCACTTAATGTTTGAACATGTTGGTATGTCTGCGAAAGAACCCTTTGAGTTCTTTTGAGCATTCTTTGAGCATTCTTCTTAGAGAATACCAGCAAAATCACTTTAATTCCTGAAGACTTACTCTTGAATTACTGAACTAGGGCTACTGGAAATGAGTTACCCATGTTACTCTGGTTAATGAAGGCCACAACTGCAGTTTTCTGTTTCAAACCTTCCAAGTGCATTCTGGATAAGGTTGTCGAGGGCATAAATGATCCTGGCAGTCATGAATCTTTTTGCTTCTCCTAGTGTTGAGTAAGGAAAATCCAGTTCTGTATTTGAAATGTGAGCTCCGTCAAATCTTGGATGTGGACCTTAAGTTGCCACTGACTAATGAAGCCAAGGAAAAGGCCTTGGCCTTGGCGGCCCAGCAGCAGATGTCGGATATAGAGTATGAGCGACGGTTGATCACGGGCACTCTGGAGAGCAGCAGTGTTCGTGTGGCCATCGCCCTCCTGGGGCTGACCAAGATTGAGGTGAGAATGCAGGACATATGATGCACTGAAATGATTGTCGTTGTAGAACCATGCAGAGTTGTCACTTGATCATAACCTTTTTACATGGAAAAATGACGAATGCTGGTTTTCCTCAGGAAGACAGCTCAGTAGCTTTTCTTCTTTCTACCTCATTAAAAAGTCTGAAGCAAAGCGTTCTCCTAATGTTAGCAGGACTGCTAATTTTAGTAGTGGAACTAAATTAGTGGTAACTTAGCATGCTAGCACATTTAGGCATTACAGTGTAGCCGCTGAATTCACGGTTGCCTCCACTTCTGACTACACGTTAGAATGCCCTGGAGAACTTAAAATAACAGTAGTACCCAGACCCCATTCTAGAATAATTAAATACAAATCTCTGCTAGGGGGCAGGGAGGGACATGTTCTAAAAGTTGTCCAGGATATTCTTTGCATCCAAAGAGGCTCGTCCCCGGGGTCAGACTACCAGGCTGAGCATCCAGACCCTGACACTGTCTACCTGTGTGACTGTGGGCTGGTTACTTCAAAATCCTCAATCTTCAATTTTATATTTTTATTTTTTAATTTAATTTTATTTATTTTTTTTTAAGATTTTTTATTTATTTATCTGAGAGAGAGAATGGGAGACAGAGAGCATGAGATGGGGAGGATCAGAGGGAGAAGCAGACTCCCCGCTGAGCAGGGAGTCCGATGCGGGACTCGATCCCGAGACTCCAGGATCATGACCTGAGCCGAAGGCAGTTGCTTAACCAACTGAGCCACCCAGGCACCCTAATTTTTATATTTTTAATCTGAAGATACTGGTAATTGATGGAAGCTAAGTGAGATAATTACGTAAAATGCTTACCACTTTACCTGGTATATAAATAAGTGCTCTTTATATGTGCAGCATTATTGTTCTTGTTATTACTATGGACTCTATTATTATATCTTGAACTCTATTGTATAAATGAAGTAAGGTACAGTCTAGCCTCCAGAGAGCCACCAAAGCGATTCTTTTAAAATGGAAACCTGGTCACATTGCTCCCCTGCACAGATTCCTCTGTTGGCTTTTCAGCTCATTCAGAATAAAACCCAACACCCTTAGGACGGTCCTCATCCTTAGGACGGTCTTCCCCTCCCCCCCGCCCCGGTCAGTCCCATCTCTTCCCTGATCTTACCTTCTCCACTGAAGCCCATTCATTCATGTCACTCCCTCAGCACAGGCCTCCTTGCTCATCTAAAAATCCCAATGCATGCTCGCCATGCCCTGTGCACTTCTGTGGTTAATTTTCCCTAGATATTAGACGCTACTTCCCTCAATTACTTCAGGCTTGCTAGAATACTACCAATGAGGTTATGCTTATATTTTTTGTATCTTCTTAAAAATCTTATGTACTTTTTAAAAAGCATTGTTTACCTCTACCAAGCACTTTCCGAATCCTAAATTTCCTTCAACTTTCTCTATAGATAGCATTTATCACCTGAGAGGAATATATTTGTTTGCTTACTCATTGTCTGTCTCCAGCAAGGGAATTTGTGAGGAGATATTTGTTTAGTTAACTCTCATATCACCAGTGCCTAGAAAAGTGTGCTGTGCCAAAGGTAGTCACTAAATCTTTGATCAGTATAGGAACAAATGGTAAATGTTTTCATCCTTGTTTGAGATTTACCTTCGTATATTACCTTACATATGTTACAACAAATACTCAGCATTGTAGGGATGATTTCTTTTTTTGTTAGAATGCTAGAATCAGTACAGTCTATGCACAGATCCCTAACATTTAATGATGATATTTTATGGATGACCTGGACTTTAAGTTCTGATTAGTTCAAAAATATCAAGGCCCAAGGCTCTGATGCCCTCTGGACGGACCCATCTACACTATGCATTCAAGAAGCTGAGGGCTGTCTTTAGCTCATACCAACAGGCTTACTTCTATGACGGAGAAATGAATTTGGGAAGGTTTTTGTTCAACTTTGAGTATAGTATTATAATAGAAATGTTTGATATGTGGCCTTTTCAAACTTTAACCCTATCATAGTGCACTCTCTCTCTCTTTACTTTTAAATTTATTTTCTTCAGGGGCACCTGGGCAGCTCAGTTGGTTAAACGTCAGATGCCGGAGTCCAGCTCCAGCCTGGGTGGGTCTCTCGTAGGAAAGGACAGCGTCGGCGAATGAAGAGACACAGACACAGGGTCAGGTTGCAAGCATCTCCTCCTGACAGCCTCGGAGGAACTTTATTTATTTGTTAGGATATTTTTGTTTTTCCAAATCTTAGATCATTTTCTGGATTACAGCCATAGCCTTCTTTCATTTTTCCTTTGTAATGATTAACATGACCTTTATTGATTTCTGCTTATTGGTTTTCGCTAAAACTAAAAAACAGTACGCAGAGAGAAAGGTGCTAGACAGAGCATGACCGTCTTGTTATTTTGTTCTATAGAAACTAATTCTTCGTGGAATTAGTTTCATTATGATTGCTTAGATAGGCGTAACTAAGGTGAGTAGTCACTTTATCATGAAACCCCAGAAATATTCCCACAATTATAAAGATTGCCATAAATAAAATGAAAAAGAATAGCAGGAGCCAGCCCAGAAATATTCCCACAATTATAAAGATTGCCATGAACAAAATGAAAGAGAATAGCAGGAGCCAGCTGTGGAGTCTCCTGTTTTCAGGATTGTCCCCCATACTTGGACTTAGTCAAACAGCATGAGTAGCTTGGCTCGCGCCAGTCAGACTCTTGATTTCGGCTCAGGTCATGATCTCAGGGTCGTGGGATCGAGCTCCCGTCGGGTCCCATGCTCAGCGGGGAGTCGGCTTGAGATTCTCTCTTTCCCTCTCCCTTTGCCCCTCCCCCCTGCTCTCTCTCTCTCTCAAATAAATAAATATTAAAAAAATTAAAAATTTATCTTCTTCATTCTTACCTCTTATCAAAACATTTTATTTAAATGAGAAATGCTGGAGGGAGATGGATTTTGTCAATGGATCCACTTTCTATTATTTATGCATATATACAGTTTCTGTTTTTCTCACTCTTCTTTTAACTGTCTCCAAAACCCAGCACACTCTTTGTGTTTATTATTGTATCTACCAAATTATGTTTTGTATAGTATTTATTTTTATATTTCCCTGTTCCTCTAGAATTGTGAATGCCTAGAAATGGAAAATCTTTGTCGTGTGTTTTTTAGCCCTTATTGTCTTGTGTGTGACAGGTGCTCTGTCACTGTTTTAATTGAATTGAACATGTGCCCGAACAAATAATACTTTAAACCTGAGGTCTTCATGTCTATCCAGCTTGCCTCATAGCCTGATTTTTCACAGTCACAGTCGTCTTGTTTACTTATCCTTGTTTACCTCCCACATTTGCAGGATGGGTATCTGTATGTGTGTACTTCTCGATTGGTTGGTGGAAATAACAGCAACAAAAACAATTATCATCATCATCATTTATGAAAAAAAACCTTGGCCTCTTTAAAATTAAAATTGAAATGTTTTAAATAGTCTCTAAATTTAGAAATTGTAAGTTTTTTTACCTGAAGATTATTATTTTCTTTGAATTCTGTGACTATCACACATTTTTCGATTTCAGCAAAAACTTTCCAAATGCACAAAATAACTGTAGAAGGGTTGAATGTGCTAGTTTAGGAAAACCAGCTGCAGCAAATCAGAACTCACAGATGCATCTTATTGTGCTCATATACATCTATCATAAAGGGCTCTTTTCAAGTGGCAATTATCAATGCATTCTTGAAATCCAATAATGCTGATAATTTTTGCAGCAGAATAGTAAACAAGATTAATTTTAAAAGTACTCTCTCCCTGTATAGTATTTTACACCATTTGTCCAATATGCTTTTATGTGCATTTTTCCAGATTATTTCAATGACCCCATGGAGAAATGTAGAGAATGTAGAATTACACTTGTAATACAAAAAATGAAATGACTGAGGCATAAAAAGACTTATGTTGCCCTTAACAATAGGGTAGCAATTACAGCCCAGATCCTGGTAGAGACATCATTGTGTTTTAAAGCTGAGACAAGAAATCAAAGACACTCAGAGACACATAGTCCAACCTCTTACACTTACAGACCTGCAAACCAAGACCCCAAAATAGTAAGATGGTAGCCTAGGATCACACCACTGATTTGTGACAGAAAAGATATGGACATAGGTTTTTGCCCCCCCCATCCATTACTCTTTTCCTTCCCCTGCATAGTCTCCAGATCATATGTTCACTTCTTCGTCTACTACCATGAAATTGTATAATGGAATAAATGAAAGTCTAGAATGCTCAGTTATAGTGTAAAATAACTACATAAAAAAATCTAAAATCATCCTTGAGATAAATCTGTTTAGAACTAAATCTATTTGAATAAATGTAATCACTTTTCTACCAAAGAAAAGTGACACATCTGACTAATTATGTGGTGGTTTGTTTTTTTTTTTTGGTACACAACCGTGTGGAATTTGAATTTTTTTTTTTTTTTTTTTTTTTTTTTTTTTTTTTAAAGATTTTATTTATTTTTTAGAGAGCGAGCGAGAGAGAAACAGCATGAGAGGGGAGAGGGTCAGAGGGAGAAGCAGGCTCCCCGCTGAGCGGGGAGCCCGATGTGGGACTCGATCCCAGGACCCTGGGATCATGACCTGAGCCGAAGGCAGATGCTTAACCATCTGAGCCACCCAGGCGCCCCCTGGAATTTGAATTTTTGAAATATTTATAGAGTAATAGCAACATGATGTATCTACTTTATACTGTGAGAGACAGGATCTTTTTTCAAGAGCATGAGTTTCTGACACTTCACCATTTAGCACTCATTTATTGAATTCATATTCTTCTGACCATTAATAAATCAACTCTAACGATATACTCAGTGATACTGGAAAGATTCAGAACTTCAGGGTAGTTTCCTTCTATTTTCTATTAGCTTTTCCAGTTTATGTTTTAAAAGCCATGCTATATACTCTGGGATAAGTGGTAGAAAAATCATTGAAATTTTGAAATTTAATATGTTTAAAAAAGGAAGCCTAAGAGATCTCCTTTGTGAGGATTCAGAAGGGTAAAGAAAATGTTTTTTGTATTTGTATAACTTAAGTGCACTCTAAATCATGAAGTAATCCTACTGATACTGTCAAAGATAAACAAAGCTGGATACTAGTTACAGCCATAAGGATAGACTTTATTCAGTAACTGTTGCAACGGGGAGAAGGATCCAGCATGAACTAAACTGAAATTTGTACAGGAGGAACTGGGAGTTTTAAAAGGAGGATGAGAAAGTAAGGAGGGTTAATGAGCTGGGAACTTAATAATAATGAGCAGAATCTGGGAAGTGGACATTTTTAAGTAGGAGGGGGTTGGTCAGTGTGATCTGGATTTGTTAATTGATCCTTATCTGCAGGAGAAACAAACTTCTGTGATCTTTATGACGGGAGGTAGTGATGCAAGATAGAACAAGGTACCTACCTGGCTGGGATCATTATCTCCTTGAATGTTTGCATTCTAAGGTCCTTGAGAAGACAGTTCTGGGTCGCAGAAAACTTACATCTTAAAAAGGAGAGAGAGAGAGGAGGAGGGTGCAGTGAGTGGGGGTGGAAGAAAGAAAGGAAAGGAGAGAAAGGATTTATAATAGCAAGCTTTCTAAAGTAACTGCTCTAATAAGAGGGGGTTTAGGAGCCTATCTTCCTGTCACTGGGTTTTGGCTGGAACAAACAGTATATTCTCTTGGCAGCATTGAGCTCTCTCAGGTAGGCACTTTAAGGGGAACTGGGATCATCCTAGGGATATGGCCTTGAGCTGTTAGAAACTAAGTCAGCATTTGTTCAAGTCTCTTAGAGTGTGTGTATATGTGTGTGCATGTGTGTGAAGGGGGTAGACAAAATCATTTGTGCTGAAAATCTGCAGTTATTGTAGGCCAAGGTTGAGGCCTACTTGAGACGAGGGTTTGGAGGAGCCTGACTAGAGTTTGGCCAAGAAGAGAGTCTATGTCAATATATCATGACTTAATGACTTGAAGATATAGAAGGCAGATGATATACATTTAGGTTAAAGAGCTGGTTGTTGATGTGAATAGATAATTTGTTCATAGTGACTAGAAAAATGAACCAAATACAAGCAATGATAAATGTAAATGAATTAATTTAAGTTTTTTAATTTACATGATTTTAATTACCAAAATAAAGTAGTTGAAAAATGTTACTTTGTGGAAAAAAAATACTTGTGGATTTTGTAGATAACAAACCCAGTGAGTGAGAACATTGCTAATGGCACTAACATTTATTTTTGTTGAGTAATGATACTATGACCACAATCAAGATGATGATGATGACAATGGTGATCCTAATAGCCAACATTTATCAAAATATGCTCCAAGGACCTGGATTTTGTTTTCACTTTAAATATTCACACCTCGGATAGGCAGTGTGTACTATTATTGCCCATATTTTGCAAATGAAGACTTTGTAGCTTTGTTTAATAGCCTGGCCAAGCTTCCTTAGAGTTGGTTATAAATGCAGGCAGTCTGCCTTCAAGAGTGCTTGGTCTAACCATTGGGCTGTACTATGTGGTTAGCGATAGAGCATCCAGATAAAAATAAATGATTGCCTACCTCTGTGCTTTGCATTGCTTGGTTCACACTTAGAGAACTGGCTTTCTCTTCAGCGTTCCATTTTAGGAAGGACAATATTGAACTAGATTGTGTCTTGAGGAGCATTTGCATGATGATGAGTTGTTGTAACCCACAGTATGTAAGTAGCAGTTGAAGGAACTAAACATATCAAACCTATTTAAAAGGTATATTTGGGACAGGGGGGAGGAAGAAAAGAAATTAACAAAAGAATAAAAGGTATGTTTGGATGTCTGTGGAAGGGCAGGACCTAATTTTATACATCTATATATGTACACACACACATATGCACACATATATTTACAAAATTGTCATTAGGGAAAGAGAGGGGACTAACTGTGCTTCTGATAAGAACTAGAACTGATGGGTTAGATGTTAAGGAACACGGGGATCAACTGAAGGAGGGAAGCACTTTCTCAATGCTATTCACCAGTGGAATTGGCTTTTCCCTGAAGCAATGAATTCCTCAACATTGAAAGGATTAGAGAATGGGACACTGAGCATCTGTTAATAAAGGATGATTCCACAGATTCTGTAAAACATGTTAGTGCTATCTTCCACCAATCAAATAATAATGTGTCTAAAGAAATGAACAGGGGCGCCTGGGTGGCTCAGTCGTTAAGCGTCTGCCTTCGGCTCAGGTCACGATCCCAGGGTCCTGGGATCGAGCCCCGCATCGGGCTCCCTGCTCAGCGGGAAGCCTGCTTCTCCTTCTCCCACTCCCCCTGCTTGTGTTCCCTCTCTTGCTGTCTCTCTCTGTCAAATAAATAAATAAAATCTTAAAAAAAAAAAAAGAAAGAAATGAACAAATTCAATCCTTTGGTGGATTTTTTCCCAAATGTGGGCTCTAAATACATGATGCTTTTGTGTGTGTGTTTTGGAGGTAAAGGCTAAGAGAATTACATTCCAATTTTACTCTGTTTATTTGCAGACTTCTATGCTCTTTAATACCTCAAAGCTAAAGAAGCCTAAGTCCATTTTATACACAGCAGAACTGAGCCTTCCAGAACATTTTGATATCCCCAAGAAAATCTACATTCCTCAGATTCCAGAAACTCAAGCTAAATTGACCCAGTCTCAAGGAATTAAACCTGCAAATAAAACAGGTAACACATGGACTGCAATATCTCGCTCTGTCCCAGGCTCTGTGAAATACTAAAATTTTAAAGAGATTATCTCTACTAATAGGATGTTCATAATACAATTAAAGAGAGAGTTCAGGGTACATAAATATCAATTATTGGATATTTTGCATTATAAATAACCAACATACTATAGCATAATAATCTAAACTATGTACTAAATTTAAGTGCTAAGTTGCTGGTACTGAAATTTGCGAACCTGTAATTACTCCTTCTTTTAAAGAGTAGTTGATAAAGACAGTAAGTGCTCTTTGAGAAAGGTAAGGTCTTGCTGTGACTGTGAAATTGGTTACAGAAGCTGTGCTGGAGTTGAAGCTCAGGCTAACTTTAAAGGATAGGAGGGTTGTTGGTGGCAAGATCATATCAGAGGAGACAGTGTGTTATTTATGAGTGATTTATCTTTGATCTGGACTAGGGCCTTTAATAGTTGAATACTTACTCCTGGTCTCCTGGTACCCTTTTATTCTGTGATTGTAATTAGGAAGGACTAACCCAGATTTAATAGAATATTAATAAATATACATTATCAAATATGAGCAATAGGATGTAAACAATGTGACAAAATAATTTAAAGTATCCAAAATTAATTTGTTTTCATTTCACTTCTTTCCAAGCTGGTAGATAACATTATGATTATAATTTCTTTACTAGGGCTATTCCCACAATGTATCATAACTCAAGTGTCATGGATCCTACTTTTTATTGTTGCTAATTTATGTTTTGTTACATTTTCCTTTGTTCTTTTCCTAAGGCTTTGTTTTAACTATATAATGTTTCTAAATCAGAAACAGCGGTTACAAATGATAAGGTTATAGGGTAATCTGTTCATTTTACCTTCCTAGGAGATCTGAGATCCCAGATTCAAATTCTAAGTGGCCAAGCATGTAACAAGGATTAATGAATTAGCTCTGGTCTAAGGCAAGAAGGATAATGGAGCCTAGAACAAACTGGAGAGTAGGCGTCCTATCTAAACATTCAAAATCAAAACAATAAAAAGAAGAAGCTTAAGTCCACCCAACAGCTGTGAGGGTATATTTAACTCATCAGCCATCAGGCTGGTGACAGTTCTTAAGTGAAATTGTTGTCTTTCTTTTTTTTTAATCTTTGTTACCTACAGCTTTTCAATGTACTATTAAATTTTTAAATGAAGATTTTATTATGATAATTTTTTAACCCCTTTGAGATAACTGGATAAAGTTGTGTGTATTATAAGCCCAACTAGGATTCCCAGTCCAAACAATTCACTTATTTAGCCATTCACTCAACCCTCTTGAGCATCAATTCCTTTGGGGAAAACAATGAAAATTGGCATCTTAAGATGCTGTTTAATTATAAATAAGTATAAAGTTATCTATATTGAAAAGTCTTTCACTGAGATAATTTTCAAAGGCTAATATTTTTCTTTTGTATCAGTTGTGAGCTATTCATTTCAGTAAGAAGATTATAGTGAGAATTAAGAAAAATAGAGCTATAAATTTTAAAAGATCATGCACAAAAGTTTTAAAATACAATTTGCATATCATGGCTCCTGTCTAACATGATTTTCTATGCAGTTGACTTTATTGAAGAAGCTTGCAGCCCAGGTTTCTGTTTCCACTTCCTTCAGCATACATTTAAAAGAATTAAGTTTACAAAAACAGAATATTCTAATTCAGGATCATAGCGGGTCAAATAAAATACATAGCCTAAACAGTGCAGTGTACATTCTATTGTTAAGCAGTGGACTTCATTAATGAAAAGGAAAGGAACATATGCTTTTTAAGTTTAATAAATAACATTCTATTGGAATTTGAGACCAAGAATTGTAGAGTTAAGCGTTTAAGAAACTTATCTTTGTGGGGGAAAAAAAGCTTACCTTTGTGATATAAGCCACTCTGAAGAGAACCAACAAATTCCTAGCATTCAATACAGTAATATAGAAAGAAATCTTGGGTTGTTTTTTTTTTTTAAGATTTTATTTTTTTAAGTAATCGCTATTCCCAGTGTGGGGCTCAAACTCACAACTCCAAGATCACGAGTCACATGCTCTACCAGCCGAGCCAGCCAGGTACTCCTAAATCTTTTTTTTCTTTTTTCTTTTCTTTTCTTTTCTTTTCCTTTCTTTTCTTTTCTTTCCTTTTTTCTATAGGTGGCATGGAGAAAGAAATGACAAGTATTTATCTGGAGAAGTAGAGATAGCCCAGTGTTCCTGCTAATTTCAGGAAAGGGGTGGAGGTGGGTCATTTTTATAATCTCTTGAAGTTCTAATGTCATCAGAAGGCACTAGTTTTGAGGTATTGAGAAGTGGCCATCTTCTGCCCATTCATATTAATGCTGCCGATCAGTCTTTACCTTTTTGAAATTCCTAATGAAACTTCCACATTTCTGGTTAGCAATAGCTATTATTGTAATTACTTAAAATAATCGACTTAAATCCGTATTTATTTTAGCTCCATGATTTAGGAAGGTATTATTTTTCCCATCCCACCTTTTAACCTTATAATGCTTTCAACTGAAGGAGATGGAGCTGTAGAGAAAGTGCGTGTGCACACAAGTAGATGCATCCATCTCCACAGACGCCACGGATGTACACACATGACAACATTTTCCCATGGGAAAGACATTACTTGTCCCACCTCATAAGTCTCAAAGATCCTGTGACTCCTTTGTTGTTAGTGGACTGGAGTAGGTCTGATATTTTTTGAGCACCAACAATATGCAAAGCACTGTGACAGTTGGTTTTATAGTTTTTCTCATTTAATTCTCCAAATAGATACTCTGTCTCAGATCCCATCTGGGCATCTTGCTTATCCATGGACTCTTGCATGACCTTTCCACACAGTTTCTGGCCTTCTCAAGCATCCTCTTTACTCCAGTTTTTTCCCATCTCCAACCTCCACTGGACAAATGACTTTGTCACCTCTGTCATGGAGGAAAGGGGGCTACATGAGCACACACTCTTCCTTAACCCCCTTACCACCTCCCCCTCAATCTCCAAATAATAGGAATCTACTCTATCAACCTTGCTGTGTGCATCTTTTAACTTATGCCAGATAACCTGTTCTTGGGCTCTTCCATCATTTATCAGAGCTCCTTCTTCTTTGAGAGTAGTTCCTTCACTTTTGGCTCTCAAACTTTCTCAAGCTTCAGAAACTAAAGACATTCATACCTTTCCCATGACAAACATACTTCTGAGTAGGGCTATCTTCATTTGTAGTTTCTATTCTTGCATGACTAGTTCTCAACCTCTCAAATCTGGCTTTTGCTCTACCACTGTAGTAAAATGACTAGTTGCTTTCTAATTGCCAAATCCAATGGGCCATTCTCAGTCTTCATCTTATTGGATCTCTATTGCATATGACCTGGATGATTAGGCATCTACTCAGAATTCTAGATATTTGAGATAAGGCTATATATCCTTATTCCCTGCATTTCTTCTCCATCCCCTTGATAAGATTTCTTCTTAATCGTTTCGTGAGTTATTCTGTTTACTCCAGCAATATGGTAATCTTCAAGGTTCTACTTGTCTTACTGGGGCTATTATTACTTTTAATGTATCCTATAGGAGATTCTGTACACTCCTATAGTTAAAACTACCATTAACATCCCTAATGTTTATCTTTATTCCCACCCTTTTCCTTCTATTTTCAACTTAGATATTCAGAGGCATTTGACATGCCTACCTATATATGTGTGTGTGTGTGTGTGTGTGTATGCAAATAGATACACAAATAGAGAGATTTATCCCTCAGATTCAAAATGAATGTATTATTATTATTCTCCATTGATTTGTTCCTTAGCATATAATCTTTATCTTTTCATATGGTGGGACATATATCCACCCTGTCTCTTATATTAGAAATCTGGGCATACTGCTTGAAGCTTCTCTCTTTTGAGCTCATACCTACAATTCATCTTGTAGTTTTAAATTTTCTGTAATTTATTTCCTTTTCTTCTCTACTCCCACTGTTAATGATTCAGGTCTTCATTAGTACCTCACAAATGGAAAAAGTAATCACATCTATTTCTTCTCAATGAGGTGCAGATTTAATGAAATGACATATGTTAAGAATTTAAATGCTATATGATATACCTAATAAATGTTGGCTATTAATTATACTCTAGTCTTGTCTCCCTTAAAGTACTTCACCTCTAGGCACTAGAACTATTAAATCTGACCATGAGATATTACTGAAACATTTAGTGATTTCAGAGGCAGATTTACTATACTACCAAAGACATAAATTTTATGATTTTTCACTTTTTTGACCCCCCCTTCTTAGTCTCTATCTAGTTTTATATTTGCGATTTTATGTTCTTTCTCTTGAAGAAGGTCCCTATATTTTAAAAGCCTCAGGCCTCATAAAACCTAGACTTTTACCTGGTTGTAGGTCTTGACTTAAACTCTCATCTACTTGTGGCTCTGGGGATGTTGAAATTTATGGACAGGAAGAGTTTTATGGACCTTAAAAGGGTATAGGTAAACAGGAAATCTCCAGTGGATCCAGGGACACTTATTACCTCCCTAATATAGAGGGTCCTGTGTGTTTTGTGCCCTCCGTGAAAAATATGTACAAGAACACTCAAACAAAATGCTCTAGGCTGGTTTTGCTGATCACTTACACAGAGCTCAAAACCTTCATTTCTAAGGTTATCTCTTCAGTTTCTAGTATTTTACATTGACCCAATTTCTTGTTCTCTCTCAAGGGATATGTGGCAGACATATTGGAAGTGCATATTGTAGGAATACTGTTCTCCTGTACCTTCTCCCATTTGAATCCAATTTTCTGAATTTTCTAACATTTGCTAATAATTAGTGGTCTAATAGGTGACAAATATTCACTAAATCTTTCCATGACAGCAGTTTAATATGTAATGTGCTTATAAACTATACTAAAAATTTATTATTTATAACTAACACTATATGTGTTTCTATCTACTTTATAAGGATTAAATATATTATTTTAATAGCTAAATTATCCTTC